GGATGTGCGGACCCCCAACACTCATCCCCACCAGGGTTCTTCGTCTGCAGAAGTTCCAAGAAATGGATTACGGGAAGACGATCATGGACTGTTGGGGGAGGGAGACTGTGGGACAAATGAGTCTGTGGTTGTGGTGGGGCGAACATGTGTTAGTGATTTTTGTCATGTCCCTATTTTGGTGGAAGGGGTGCCGTGTTTAGCATTGGTGGATACGGGATCGACTTTGACAGTGTTGAGACCAGATGTAGTTCCGGCAAATGCCAAGCTGGAACCCACCACTGTCCGACTACGCACAGTGACGGGTGAACTAGCGCCCATGAAGGGTAAAGGAGAGGTGGGGCTGACGGTAGGGGGAAAGACATTACGCCATTCGGTGTGGGTGGCTACAGTACAAGACCCCTGTATTCTTGGTCTGGACTTCCTTAAAAGTGCAGGTTGCCAGTTAGACTTAAGGGGTGGCCTGCTCCGGTTTGAAGGGGGTCCTGAGGTTGTCATGTCCATTGAAAATAACGTTGATATGTCTTTTACAGGTCTGTTAGAGGCAGCAAATATTCCTGGGGACTCTAGGTTGGAGTGCCACACATTGCATTTGCAATCCAGCCCGAGTGCTGATACCAGACCACCTCAGGTAGATGATTCTTCCACTCCCTTACCCCACACCCCAGCTGACCTCTACCCGGGGGTGGCCACACAACCCTCCTCAGAGCCAGTTTCAAGTCTCCCTGGCAGGGATGGGCAGGAGGCTGGCTGTCTGTTTCCACCTCTGGGAGAGGGGGGAGGGGTGGAAAGATAAAAGAATACCTGAAATCCCATCATATGTCTCATTTTAGATTTTTGGTCATATGTAAGTGTGAGCAGCTCTGTTAAGCTGAGGGTACTTCTCTCCTCTTCTCCACTAAGTAACAGAGACATTGAATTTATAATACATATTGTTAAAATTTTTAAAATTTAATTTAACATTAGAACTCTCTATTCTATTTTTATTCTATCTACTTGTTTTCTTTTTAATTAGGCTATTATAAAATAATAATAATTTTGTGTTTTACTTCTTTATGCATTTATACATGTTCATTAATGACAAGATAGTCTTATAACACATTTATTTTAATACCTATAATGCTATTTTTTTGTGCTGTGTGTCTGAAACTTTTAGAAGCTTCTCATATTTGTTACAAATGAACATCCCTGAACCTTTTAATTCATTTCAAGCACAAAGTACTGTACAACCTACTCCACTTCTGAATGGGTTTTAAAAGTAGGTGTGTTGTCATGCCAACAAGTGCATTTTGAATTTTGTGCATGATTTATTTATTTAATTAATTTTTATTTGTTCAAAACGATTACTATGCCCTTCTCTATCACCATGTCCTGCCACAATTGATCCCCATTTTATTTCAAACATTTTAATTTAAAATGCTAACACAATGTATAGCAAATATTTTAATTCAGTTCAAAATTGCAAGTGAAACTGGAAACAAATATACATTTTTGTGTGGGTTATAATCCATCCATCCATCCATTCAATCATTTATCATATTTTATGTAAACTCTTTATATTTTTAAACAGACACAACTTCAGGAGGGTGGTGCTCATGTATGATAGTGATTTATAACTCATTAATACTGTGTTGCAACCTTGCATTTCTCAATCAGCTCTCTGTTCGTTGGTCAGTGCTGACATGGTTACTCTCAAAATTAGCTTCACATATATTCACTTACTGAACGAGTCATCACGACTTTTGCAACATCTCAGTTTGACAGAAATAGATAGGACTTATCGTAATATGTATGTATTGTAATAATAGAATGTTGTTGATAAATGCCAGTGACGCGTTAATGCACAATCACACCACTGTCCCAGAGTTTAGTAGATCAAGGGCCTTGCAAGTGTCAAATCTGTGTTCTGACATACGGCTGACATCATGACTGAGGAGTGAAGATTACAAATGCTTCGAGTGTCTTAACTGGATACCATGACTGAAATACTGCACTATTAGTAGCTTTATTTATTTGAAATAACTGCAAACTAAAGTTCTCATGCAGAACTATTCAGGAAACAAAAAATGTTAGCTAGGTTGCCAATACCTTCCTTTGAAAGCAACATGAATTGCTTTTACAAATGTAATGCTTTGAAGAGATTCTAGACGTTTGATAAAACTGGAAAGTCTGTATTTGACATCGCCATCTAATGTGCTCTTAGTGTACTCACATGTGCATCAAGTGAGATATTTTTTTCTGTGTTTCTATTTTATTTATATTGATACGTTTCTATTTTTTTTAGCCTTTGCAGTGCCTTTTAAAGCTTGTTAAAGGGATAAATATTTCTAAAATATTTAAATACAGTCATTATTTTCTCATCCTCAAGTTGTTCCAAACCAAATTGATTTTCTTCAATGCAAGGTCACTAACATGCCCTTTTGTTGTTCCATGGAAGAAAGAGATTGTATGAGCCCCAGCGCAAAACTGATGTCGTCCCTTCCACCCCCACAGCTTACAAGAACAATCTTAAATACACAGCTGAATTTAAAAAAAAGCTTTTGGAGTTTTACAAGAAAATATTATTTCAGTTGTTCTACTTCAAAATGTCATGTTTAATTCAATTTGATACTTATCGTCTTGCAATTATTTGTGAAACTTACTATCCATTTCTAGGTAAAAATGATTTCAAAGGAAACTCTACTCTACTTATACTTAAAAATGGGGGGTTGGGGGAAATCTCAATATGGAATAAATATTTAGCTCCAATACACACTGGCTACAGTCATTGCCTCCCTTTTATTCAACACTTTTTTGCAACCTCCATTTGCCAAGATAACTGCTCTGAGTCTTCTCCTATAATGCTTGATGAGGGTGCAGTTTGTTCAGAGTTCAGATCATCACAGGCCTGGAATGGCCATGGCAGAACCTTTATTTTGTGCTCAGTGACCCATTCTTTCGTTGATTTTGATGTTTGTTTGTATCAGTGTCCTGATGGAACATCCAACCATGAGTAAAAGTTCATCTAACTGTAGAATCCGGTCTATTTAAAATTTTATTGTGAATTTGCTGGATTATTTTTTTTTCCCCTCTCAAAACATTCTCCGGCTGTGAGCCTTTGGCCACTCAAACTATTCTCCTCGCCTTGCATTAAGACAATATAGACATGTTCTCTTCCAGGCAGATTCATAACATCTCTAGTGTTTCCTCATATTTGTTCTCCTGTGAAAAAGGAAGCCATGGCTGGACAGTTTGATGTTCCTAGTCACTGGTGTGCTAAAATATTCATAATTTCCCCACCACTTTCAACTGTTTGTCCTACTTCAATGGAAAGATGGAATTTTGTGAAATGTTTTGAATGTAAAATCAAAAGGATAAACAATGCAGATTAATTTTCATAGCCTTCTTTGCATAGTCACCAAGGGGGCCCATAAGTTTGACAACTGCATACATGTATAGTGAGACTGAAATGAAATGACACTGCCTTGTTATCTTTGAGGAGAATGTTATAACTACCTACAAGGCTATGCTTGCAATCAACAACCACTAAAATTGTAATCCTGCTGTGTTTTTCTTGTTCGATAAGCATTTGTTACATCCTATCTGGTATCCTTTTTGCAGCATAATTACGGAGTAATTGTAATTTTACAGCATGTACTCACTATAGAGTTAGGATTTGGCACTTTCTTCTGCATAATTTACTGTTCTTGATGTAAGTATGTGTAATATGTATAACAAGGTCACTGCAAAATAAAGTGTTCCCACAGTTTGACTCAATGACAAATTGTCAAAACTAAGATTATCCCATCTTCCAGTATACTGTGAGATGTGCTGTAGACTGAACACTTGGAAACAAAAAGAGTAAAAGTAATTTGTTTAATAAAATATGGTGTAAAACAATGCCTAAACAATCATAACTATATAAAAGAAAAACATTTTCAAAAAAAGTCAGGAACATCCTTGCAGCTGAGAGTGGAAAAAGGACAGAAATAAGACACCTGCAAATATCACAAAAAGTTTTTGAAAAATCAGTGCTTTTCAAAAATGGTAAATTTACAGTAACATTCATGCTTTAGATCAATCTTTAATGCCAAAGTTAACAAAATGTTGCAAAAAGCATTACATAAAATATACAGTTAAACAGCTTTGGACAAACATCTTATGCCGTATTATAGCTTCTTACCTACTGAGCAATCAGAGCAAATATTCAAAGTCTTTTCAATTGGGAGCTTCATTTAAAGAGAGGACGAGGAAAAGAAAAAAATAAAAATAAAAGAAAAAAGACTGCTCCCATGAAAAGAAAACACATCAAGTCAAAGATTCTTTTTGTTTATGCTGATGCATGAACAGTGCTATTATACCAGTTCCAACTTTAAACATATGCAAATCACCAGACCATGAAGTGAAATAAAATTCTCATATTTTTGCACTTATAAACCACCAATGTGCCTCTTGCACAGAGGAGGGAGGGGAGAGGAGTAAATTAAATCTTAAAATGGGGATCTTAATCCTCTCCTCCTCCAAACATGTCTGCCAGCTTCTTAAAGCGTGGGCCCCACTCATTGAGGAAGTCATAGTCTTGGTCGTGTCCTGAGCTGGAAGAGTTGAGGGAGCTGAGTGAACCTGCATCTGAGCCTCCTCCTTCATAGTCAAACACCAGGAGGGAGTCATAGGGGGGTGCTGTAGGGTCGTTATCCGCAGCATTCAGATTCTGTGGTACAAAGTTGTGTTATTGCCATATTTAAACCTTGTTATAAAAAGATAAACAGACTTTAAAAATATCACTTACATCATCAATGAACGTCCCAATCTCCTCAGGGTTGGCTGGTCGAGGTCTATACTGAGGTGCTGGTAGGAAAGTGGGTGCCACATCATTTCGGAACACTTCAGGTCTGTTGTCCAAGCCACGATGCAACACACTCAGATCATAATCCTGTGCAGAAAGGGTGTTTGATATGAAAGAACTGCAAAGAGGAAGCCAACTGCTACATGCAGAAGGTCAGTATATAGTCTCAAGCTACTTTTTGTTTTCCAAACATCAAGCTATCAACATCAAGTCAAAGTCATCGCAAGCTACTACAAATGTAACTGCACACAGGTTGGAACCCAACCTTGACATCTGAATGTTAAGTTTACATGGAACCCAAACCAAAACTCTTTTTTATAAAATGGCTTTGCCTTGTTACAGACTATGGAACTCCGTAACAAGCATTTCACAAAGCTTCACAAATGCTTATATTGCAAAAAAATGTTAAGCAAAAAGAAAGATTTGTACATGATGCTTGAGCGCTGCAGGCAAGATCTGACTGCAATAAAAAAAAAATAAAAATAACAGGATGCGTGACTGTCAATATTTTGTTTCAAGTTTAACCAAACACTATGAATTCAGCCATCAAAAACTGATAAATTTATTCAAATTAAAACCAACCTGGTCGTCTTCTCCACCGCCTTCCTCATCATAATAGTAGATGTTGTCTCTTACATCATCTTCAGGAAGGAGGGGTTCTTTTTTGGTACCGCTTTTCCTCCTCAGGAACAAAAGCAGAAGAAGAACGAGCACTGTGGTACAAGAAACACAACATAACTTACAATAGCAAACTTTAAAATTCAGTGGTAATAAGGAATTAAACTGAAAAGTCCATTTCTGCAGTATAGTTTATATACACCAACCGTCTATATGCACACAACACCTGGAAGACAAACTACGGTTGCTAAAATGATCAGCATACAGTTACTGTATGCCTTGCAAAAAAATGTTAAGCAAAAAGACAGATTTGTACATGATGCTTGAGCGCTGCAGGCAAGATCTGACTGCAATAAAAAAAATAAAATAACAGGATGCGTGACTGTCAATATTTTGTTTCAAGTTTAACCAAACACTATGAATTCAGCCATCAAAAACTGATAAATTTATTCAAATTAAAACCAACCTGGTCGTCTTCTCCACCGCCTTCCTCATCATAATAGTAGATGTTGTCTCTTACATCATCTTCAGGAAGGAGGGGTTCTTTTTTGGTACCGCTTTTCCTCCTCAGGAACAAAAGCAGAAGAAGAACGAGCACTGTGGTACAAGAAACACAACATAACTTACAATAGCAAACTTTAAAATTCAGTGGTAATAAGGAATTAAACTGAAAAGTCCATTTCTGCAGTATAGTTTATATACACCAACCGTCTATATGCACACAACACCTGGAAGACAAACTACGGTTGCTAAAATGATCAGCATACAGTTACTGTATGCCCACTGCATTGACCATGACAACCAAGTAAACCAGCTACAATTGTTTACTGTAGCTGGTTTACACAATGCATGAGAGAAACTACATACACAGCAGAGCCAAGATTCCTCCCAGGATCCCAAGCACTCCAGATAGTGACATCCCTCCTAACCGTTTTTCAGTACACCGGACTTCATCTCCTGTGCAGTCACACACAGTTGCTTGAATGGAGCTGTCCTGATACAGCTTATGTTGATCAAACACTCTCAGGACTACATTGTAGTCCCCCTGCTCCAATTGAGACTTGAGATGCAGAAAAACACCAGTTGCTGAAATGGGCACATTATAATAGTTAGACGTGTAGCCACTACCAACCAGCCAACCACTTTAATGTAAAAGAATTAGTTGAATTTCTTAAAACATTAGAAACTGCTCACATGTGTCATTCATTGAGGTGGACCAGTTTTTACTGGTTTCTCCTTGGGTCTCAACGCTAAAGGGTGCACCATAAGGAGGTCCATCTTTGTCCGTTATAGAGAGAAGAACTGGGGCTGATCCACGATTGCAAACTCCTACAGTCCTTTCATTTATAACAGGAGCGTTGTCATTTACATTCTCCAATTCAATTATCAGGGTTCCTGTGCCAGTTGCTGGAGATGTTGCTGCACACAAGCACAAACATATTAGAAAAAGGCTATGCTGCAAGAATTCCTTCTACCTAGAAACACAAATTACCGTCATCATCCACGGCCAAAATGATAGCTCTGTATTTTCCATCTTTGACATAAGCGGATTCTCTATCCATAAGGGTTCTGACTTTGATCACTCCAGTCTCTGGAGACACACTGAGCCAGCCAGCAGGATCATTGCCCATTTTATACCTGGAAGGAATTGACAACTGCATACATGTATAGTGAGACTGAAATGAAATGACACTGCCTTGTTATCTTTGAGGAGAATGTTATAACTACCTACAAGGCTATGCTTGCAATCAACAACCACTAAAATTGTAATCCTGCTGTGTTTTTCTTGTTCGATAAGCATTTGTTACATCCTATCTGGTATCCTTTTTGCAGCATAATTACGGAGTAATTGTAATTTTACAGCATGTACTCACTATAGAGTTAGGATTTGGCACTTTCTTCTGCATAATTTACTGTTCTTGATGTAAGTATGTGTAATATGTATAACAAGGTCACTGCAAAATAAAGTGTTCCCACAGTTTGACTCAATGACAAATTGTCAAAACTAAGATTATCCCATCTTCCAGTATACTGTGAGATGTGCTGTAGACTGAACACTTGGAAACAAAAAGAGTAAAAGTAATTTGTTTAATAAAATATGCAGTGTAAAACAATGCCTAAACAATCATAACTATATAAAAGAAAAACATTTTCAAAAAAAGTCAGGAACATCCTTGCAGCTGAGAGTGGAAAAAGGACAGAAATAAGACACCTGCAAATATCACAAAAAGTTTTTGAAAAATCAGTGCTTTTCAAAAATGGTAAATTTACAGTAACATTCATGCTTTAGATCAATCTTTAATGCCAAAGTTAACAAAATGTTGCAAAAAGCATTACATAAAATATACAGTTAAACAGCTTTGGACAAACATCTTATGCCGTATTATAGCTTCTTACCTACTGAGCAATCAGAGCAAATATTCAAAGTCTTTTCAATTGGGAGCTTCATTTAAAGAGAGGACGAGGAAAAGAAAAAAATAAAAATAAAAGAAAAAAGACTGCTCCCATGAAAAGAAAACACATCAAGTCAAAGATTCTTTTTGTTTATGCTGATGCATGAACAGTGCTATTATACCAGTTCCAACTTTAAACATATGCAAATCACCAGACCATGAAGTGAAATAAAATTCTCATATTTTTGCACTTATAAACCACCAATGTGCCTCTTGCACAGAGGAGGGAGGGTAGAGGAGTAAATTAAATCTTAAAATGGGGATCTTAATCCTCTCCTCCTCCAAACATGTCTGCCAGCTTCTTAAAGCGTGGGCCCCACTCATTGAGGAAGTCATAGTCTTGGTCGTGTCCTGAGCTGGAAGAGTTGAGGGAGCTGAGTGAACCTGCATCTGAGCCTCCTCCTTCATAGTCAAACACCAGGAGGGAGTCATAGGGGGGTGCTGTAGGGTCGTTATCCGCAGCATTCAGATTCTGTGGTACAAAGTTGTGTTATTGCCATATTTAAACCTTGTTATAAAAAGATAAACAGACTTTAAAAATATCACTTACATCATCAATGAACGTCCCAATCTCCTCAGGGTTGGCTGGTCGAGGTCTATACTGAGGTGCTGGTAGGAAAGTGGGTGCCACATCATTTCGGAACACTTCAGGTCTGTTGTCCAAGCCACGATGCAACACACTCAGATCATAATCCTGTGCAGAAAGGGTGTTTGATATGAAAGAACTGCAAAGAGGAAGCCAACTGCTACATGCAGAAGGTCAGTATATAGTCTCAAGCTACTTTTTGTTTTCCAAACATCAAGCTATCAACATCAAGTCAAAGTCATCGCAAGCTACTACAAATGTAACTGCACACAGGTTGGAACCCAACCTTGACATCTGAATGTTAAGTTTACATGGAACCCAAACCAAAACTCTTTTTTATAAAATGGCTTTGCCTTGTTACAGACTATGGAACTCCGTAACAAGCATTTCACAAAGCTTCACAAATGCTTATATTGCAAAAAAATGTTAAGCAAAAAGAAAGATTTGTACATGATGCTTGAGCGCTGCAGGCAAGATCTGACTGCAATAAAAAAAAAATAAAAATAACAGGATGCGTGACTGTCAATATTTTGTTTCAAGTTTAACCAAACACTATGAATTCAGCCATCAAAAACTGATAAATTTATTCAAATTAAAACCAACCTGGTCGTCTTCTCCACCGCCTTCCTCATCATAATAGTAGATGTTGTCTCTTACATCATCTTCAGGAAGGAGGGGTTCTTTTTTGGTACCGCTTTTCCTCCTCAGGAACAAAAGCAGAAGAAGAACGAGCACTGTGGTACAAGAAACACAACATAACTTACAATAGCAAACTTTAAAATTCAGTAGTAATAAGGAATTAAACTGAAAAGTCCATTTCTGCAGTATAGTTTATATACACCAACCGTCTATATGCACACAACACCTGGAAGACAAACTACAGTTGCTAAAATGATCAGCATACAGAGCATACAGTTACTGTATGCCCACTGCATTGACCATGACAACCAAGTAAACCAGCTACAATTGTTTACTGTAGCTGGTTTACACAATGCATGAGAGAAACTACATACACAGCAGAGCCAAGATTCCTCCCAGGATCCCAAGCACTCCAGATAGTGACATCCCTCCTAACCGTTTTTCAGTACACCGGACTTCATCTCCTGTGCAGTCACACACAGTTGCTTGAATGGAGCTGTCCTGATACAGCTTATGTTGATCAAACACTCTCAGGACTACATTGTAGTCCCCCTGCTCCAATTGAGACTTGAGATGCAGAAAAACACCAGTTGCTGAAATGGGCACATTATAATAGTTAGACGTGTAGCCACTACCAACCAGCCAACCACTTTAATGTGAAAGAATTAGTTGAATTTCTTAAAACATTAGAAACTGCTCACATGTGTCATTCATTGAGGTGGACCAGTTTTTACTGGTTTCTCCTTGGGTCTCAACGCTAAAGGGTGCACCATAAGGAGGTCCATCTTTGTCCGTTATAGAGAGAAGAACTGGGGCTGATCCACGATTGCAAACTCCTACAGTCCTTTCATTTATAACAGGAGCGTTGTCATTTACATTCTCCAATTCAATTATCAGGGTTCCTGTGCCAGTTGCTGGAGATGTTGCTGCACACAAGCACAAACATATTAGAAAAAGGCTATGCTGCAAGAATTCCTTCTACCTAGAAACACAAATTACCGTCATCATCCACGGCCAAAATGATAGCTCTGTATTTTCCATCTTTGACATAAGCGGATTCTCTATCCATAAGGGTTCTGACTTTGATCACTCCAGTCTCTGGAGACACACTGAGCCAGCCAGCAGGATCATTGCCCATTTTATACCTGGAAGGAAAAAAAAAAACAAAAAAAAACATACAAGTTAAAACTAGAAAATGTTCAAGAAAAACTTAAGGGGATAGTTCACCCAAAAATGAAAATTCTGTCAATTTCTCACCCTCATGTCGTTCCAAACCCGTAAGACCTTTGCTCATCTTCAGAACATAAATTAAGATATTTGATGAAATCTGAGAGCTTTCTGACCCTGCATAGACAGCAACGGAACTACCACGCTCAAGGCCCAGAAACGTAGAAAGGACATTGTTAAAATTGTCCATATGACATCAGTGGTTCAACCATAAATGTTATGAAGCTATGAGAACACTTTGTGAGCAGTTGAATCTTCATTCAACAATTCTTCTCTTCCGTGTCAGTCTCTAACGTGCATTCACAAGAGGACCACGACTCATGCATGTGGTGCTGCTGACGCAGGAGCAGTCATTCTGACATAGAACCCAGATGCGCTGCGGCTTGTTTGCAGTCAGAGGAAAGCACATGCATGCATGTTGAACTGTGGTACTGTCTTGAGCATGCATCGAAGTCTGATGCAGAAGAGAAGAAACTGTTGAATGAAGTTGTTTTCTTTGCGTAAAAAAAAATTATATTAGCTATATTCTAGTAGCTTCATAAAAGGCTGAACCACTGAGGTCACATGGACTATTTTAATGATGTCCTTACTACCTTTCTGGGCCTTGAACATGGTAGTTACATTGCTGTCTATACAGGGTCAGAAAGCTCTCGGATTTCATCAAAAACATCTTAATTTGTGTTCTGAAGATGAACTAAAGCCTTATGGGTTTGGAACAACATGAGGGTGAGTAATAATGACAGAATCTTCATTTTTGGGTGAACTAACCTTTTAATGTTGGTTTGACCAGACATGGAGCTTTAAAAATGTGAAGTTTAAAGTATATGCTGTGGTTTTATGGCTGGGCAGAAGAATTTTGACAGTGGAAAGGTGGTTCTCAAAAGTTATACTAGTGAAGTGAATTTAGTAGTCTAAGCATTCACACCTAAACTGTTTGAAAATTAGAGCATGTAAAAGAAAAGGTCTGAATTTATGAAGAGCACATCTATGGAAGTCCATTGGATTTTTGTTCACTATAAAACATTGAAGACATTTCTAGCGAAATCAGTCAGAAAAGGAAATGATTAAAATATATTTCATATCTTACATTATCTTCTGTGATTTTCCAATGTCTGGATCAGTGGCTGTATAAGTAACCAATTCAGTATCAACTGGTGCATCTTCAGGTTTGAAGATAGTCTTCTCTTTTGGATTAAACTCAGGAGGTTCATTTACATCTTCTACATTCACTGTGACTGTGGCAGTGGAAGTGGGCAAAGAACCGACAAATGGATCATCATTCTCAACAATCACAGACAGAACGTACTGCTTGGTCTTCTCAAAGTCCAGGGCCTAAACGGAAAAGAAAGTGTCTTTTACTAAAGCATGTCATCACAACCAATTGTCTGGGCAAACATATGAGCAACACACAGTACCTTAACAGTGGTGATGATGCCCTCTAGCTGGCTGGGTCCAGTACTGACATTGAAAAACCCACCCTTGTCACCACTAATAATGCGATACTTGGTTGACCAGGCCGGTGATCCAAATTCATCTCCATCAGAAACTGCAAGTTTGGCCACTACATGGCCTACTTTATTCTCTGGGACAGATACGACGTGCTAAAAGATATGCATGGTGTGTGTATATAAGAATTAATGAGTTCAAACACCTACAAGTGGTAGAGTAAAACAATTCTAAATACATAAATATACATTACCGAAGTTTGCTCAAACTGAGGAGGGTTATCATTGCTGTCAGTAATTGTAATAACAGCTGTGCCAGTGGTTGACGAACCTTTTCCTTCCATGTCAGTAGCCACAATTAACAAAGTATATCTGGGCCATTGCTGAAAAGAAACATAGCTGATGAGTTTGTTTACATTAAGTAATTTTATTACCACTTTGAGATTCATCAAATGTCACTTCTCACCTCTCTGTCCATGTCTGCTTCTCGTACACGAATGGTTCCAGATAAAATGTTGATATCAAACATGTTTGGTTTTGGAAGTGGCGGCTCTTGGCTGACAATTGCGTAGTTGACTATACCGTTGTACGTTTCTGGGTCATCTGCATCAGTGGCTGTGACTGTCATAAACTCATCATCTTTGATTAGAAAATAAAGACTAATTATTAGGCGGTAAAAGCTGCAGAGGCATTTGAAGGGAAAAAACAGCTAAAAGCCATTTAATTGAGAAACTGCACCATACACCTACCTTTTCCAGCAGCTTCATGAACAAGTCCATTAAAAGGATTTTGAGTAAACACAGGCTTATTATCATTTTGGTCAATCACGTTGATGAGAATTTCCATTGGACTTTCTTTTACATTATCCACATCACGTGCTACAGCATGAGCTATAAGCTAAAGAAATTAGAAGAAATTTGGGAATGTTAAGGGGCAAATAATGAATGGGTTTCTTTAAAGTGTTTTAGTCCATGTCTATTAACTTAAGGGGCTTTCGCACCGCGTAGTTCTAGGAACTTAGTTCTAGGAATTAGCCAGCAGGGTCGTTCCTCAAGAACCAATTTCTCCTTCGGGTTTTCCTGGTTGCGTTTGCACCAGCAGCAGGAACTCTGAAGCGGCTGACAGCGACGTCTTTATGTGCGCCATTTACAAATGTCAACAATCAGTGAATGGAGGACGCTGCGATCGGAGCGGTTTTTGTTGTCCGTTTCGTGATAACAGAGAATGTAAATGCACAATTTATGCGATTGAAAGAGCAAAAAGTTGGGCTAAGAGACAAAATTTCCTATGACAACCTATTGCAGCAGAGAAAAGAACAACACTGCAGACAACATGTAAATGCCGTTATCACCTTGCGATTGAAAGAGCAAAAAGTTGGGCTAAGAGACAATTTTCTATGACAACCTGCAGTGTTACATATTGCAGCAGAGAAAAGAACAACACTGCAGACAACATGTAAATGCCGTTATCACCTTTTTCCATCTTTGTGGAGTAAATGTGTTTACATGGCTTTTTAAAAATACCGGGTAGTCGGTGTTTCACGTGTGTTTGGCCAATTAGTGTACACTTACATCACTGATAGTTCCTATAGAACTGTTTTTGGACCCAACTCTGAAGTAGGAGCTAATTTAGTTCCCTCAAACGTTCCTGGAACTAAAACGGTTCCTAGGTCCTACAATGCAAACACACCAAAAAGCAAGTACTTCTGCCAATAGTTCTAGGAACTATGAAAAGGTTCCTCTTGTGCGAAAGCCCCTTTTGAGACACTGACACTCAAAGGTAGTCCTAAAGAAAACGGACTTAATCTTTAGTAGATATACAAAATTAAAATGCAAGGTCTCATGCAAACATATGACAAGAAAACGGTCAAGCCATTTCATCTGATTAAAAGAGGACAGTTTTCAAAGAATTAAGAATGATCAGACAGTTTAGTGCTGAAATACACCAAGAACTAAATGTTGATTTTAAACGTTATGAGATTAAAATCGACTCACTCTGTATGAAGCTTTTTTTTCTCTGTCGAGTGGCTGAGTGACAAAGAGATTCCCTGATAATCTTTCAACAGTGAAAATCCCCTTTGGGTCCTGATCTGCCCCTTCACCTGTGATGCTGTACACCATTTGAGTTTCCTTGGCAAAGTCTGACTTTATCTAAACACAGAAAGCAATAAGAGAAAGTCAATGACAGACAAAACTCTCGCAAACATTAATAAACACTAATTCTGAACAGTTCTTTCATGATTTCCACTCACCTGGACCAGCTTCATTGGGAATGGCCCTCTGCTATTCTCAGGCACATGGAACGGAGGAATAACCCAACCTCTCTTTGCTCTCTTTAGACCCGTCGAAGACTTTGGAAAAGTCAGAACCTGATCAGAGGGCAATTCCATCTAAAAATGTTAGTTAAATATGTTAGTAAAAGACACTGAATGATAAACCATTTTTGTTTACAATTAAAGACCGTGCAGATTTTGTAGTAGTAAATATGAAAAACATCATTTGCTAATTTCTGTGCGTGACCAAGGCAACACGAAACTTTTGAACATGAAAATGTTTATTACAGCTACTGACTACTAAAATTGTTCTGGTAAAAACAGTATTAATAAATGGGGAGTAAAATTTTGGCCCGCCATTTAATAAACCAATTTAGGTTCATTTGAGAACCCTTCGTTTCCTAGCTTGATGTACATTATTCCACTATGTATAATAAATGGAGTAGAATACAGAACAAAGTTTAGGAAATCTTAGGTTTTAGCACTGCATGAATGAAACCTCTGCAGACTCATTTTGTGTTTATGAGACCAATGGGCTGCGACAAATGACATTCATCAGTATGGATGGAAAACTGAATGAATTTAGCACGTCTTCAATAATTAATTGTAATTATGTACAGCAATTAATAACCATCCATTTGAAGTACCACAGTAAAGTACCAAACAAAAACTGAAGTGCCCAATAGAGGTCAGGCTTGCACTGTATTGCAAAGCAGCTTCTTGCATTAAATGTGTTTGTACCTCTGGAGAGGAGATGTTCATGACCCGATCCATGTGATGTTCCTTATGATGGTGGATATGCTCAACTTTGACAGATACAGTGTGCTTCTTGCCATTGGAGTCCCAAGCGTGCACAGAAAACACCTTGTGGCCTTCATGAAGAGTCACTTGTCTCTTCAGCGTTACAGTCCCATCCGTGCTCACATCAAACCGCTTGTCAACAGACTGAAAGAATGTTCTTGTTCTTCCATCGCAGTTATTGAAAGTTACTGAAAGTTAAAGAAAATAGTCAATTTATGACACCTACAGCAGCACAGCCTCACTTCTTCACAACTTTCAATCCATCAAAATTTTCAAACCAATAAACTAACAGATGTTGTTTAAGCATAAGGGGAAGCTACTTGCCAAGTTTGTTTTTCCACCCACAATAATAATTGTTTAAGAGATTCATTGTAATAATGGGCAATTTATAACAATAAAGCTGCCGCCCTGTATTAGTTTGAAAGAACAAATCTCATATTTGATGAAAGGGTTTAAGTTTATCTATTCTGATGTTTGTGAATGCAATCGTGTGAGACAGTTATGGTAGGTAATTATACCAAATCATTTTGATGACAGACTTTGGCTCAGACACTCCAAATGTATTAAAATACCATTTGAGAAGGTAGGCAATGAGATTGATGAGCTGGTTAGTGCAGTTATCCAATTACATGATCTGCTGAGGCAAAGCCAGTAAGTTTGTTGCACATCAAGAAACTTATTCGGTAAATGCGTTTCCAACTTTTTTTATTAGCATGTCTTATTGGATAAAAAAAAAAAAAAACCTACCACAATTTAGCGTGTTCGTTTTATATGCACATTTTAATATTTTGTATTGGCATTTCCATTGAGTTTTATTTACGCAAGATCCCAAAACTTGCATTAAAAAAAAAAAAAAAAAGTGGATGGAAACATAGCTACTGATGGGGTTTTGAGGGTACCTAAGACAACAAAGCACTGCATCCATCATAATAAAGAATTTCGATTTATAAAGTCCTATGTTTTACATGCGTCATAACTCACAGGCACGCTTTATGTCCACCATTTCTCAGCTTCAGAATAATGCATACTCTGTCAGTCCTTTTACCAAAACTACACAGCATAATTCATTTAAACAAACACTATCCCCTATACAGAGGTTTTGCGATGGCAGTGCTGCCATCCATTAGTGGTCTGAAAGGAAGTGGTGAAACCAATCAGCCCTTAAGAATAAGCCACCATTAGTGGGACACTGAAAGGATGCTCCCTTCAAGATGTACAGAGATAAACTACAGATCAATTGCAATAAGAAACCAAATCTGGTAAAAAAAAATAAATTAGTATGAAAGGATAAATCAGTATATGGCAAGCATGAAGCTAATCCATACAAAATGTTTAGATCATTTTAGATAAAGCCGATGAGAAAAAAAAAACAAAAAAAAAAACATTCTAAAACATCCTTTAACATCAAGATAATCCACCCTCCCAATCATTAAATGTTTTAAATGACTAAATGTAGTCATGTTGTGAGATCAGAAGATAAAAATCAAAACTAAAACCACATACAGTCTTTAACTGGCATCACTTTTTATGGAAAGTACCTGACTGGGGGGGCGTAGACATGACACCACACGCAAAACCAATTGCATTAAATAAATGTTAAAATAGACGTGTTAGAAATGTAAAATACATGGCATTACAAAATTAAAAACAACTAGGATAATTTCAAAGATTAAAAAAAGAAAAAAAAAAAAGAGTGAAAATGCTTAGTTAAATTTGTTGACCCTAATCTCCTGGTCCCACACCCACAGAAACTCACTGGCTCTGAATCAGTCACATTTCACAACACCTGCAAAGTCTGAAATCTCATGCTTCAGTAAGCACTTAAACATGATATTTCAGAGACTTTGATTTAACTCCTGACCTCACAGATCTAAAATGCGGTTTAATTAAAAATTTACCGGTTAAGACAAAACATAACATCAACAACGGTTTACCTCGATCACTGTCAATTGCAATAAGAAACCAAATCTGGTAAAAAAAAAAAAATTAGTATGAAAGGATAAATCAGTATATGGCAAGCATGAAGCTAATCCATACAAAATGTTTAGATAATTTTAGATAAAGCCGATGAGAAAAAAAAAAAAAAAAAAACATTCCATGAACGATGTATAAATAATGTTTTTGTACTAATGCTTTGAGAACATTACTAAAGACATTTAACAATCATTCTATTATTCTGAGAATAAATTCTGAGAATGTTCCTTATAGTTACAGGTGTTCAGAACTGAATAATATTTACTGAATACCCCGATATTTTTCAAAACAGGAAAAATGATCTCATCAAACAGCAGTGTGCCACACTATTGTCACATGACCACACATTGTATGTAAATGGCATAAATGTAAAATACATGGCATTACAAAATTAAAAACAACTAGGATAATTTCAAAGATTAAAAAAAGAAAAAAAAAAAAGAGTGAAAATGCTTAGTTAAATTTGTTGACCCTAATCTCCTGGTCCCACACCCACAGAAACTCACTGGCTCTGAATCAGTCACATTTCACAACACCTGCAAAGTCTGAAATCTCATGCTTCAGTAAGCACTTAAACATGATATTTCAGAGACTTTGATTTAACTCCTGACCTCACAGATCTAAAATGCGGTTTAATTAAAAATTTACCGGTTAAGACAAAACATAACATCAACAACGGTTTACCTCGATCACTGGTGTGCTTTTCAACACCAGGAAGGACGAAACTTACCTGCTACTAAAGAACGTGTGGCTATCAAAGTGTTAACGTAGAGAGAGTTTTCTACGAACTGAAATATGAATTTGAACATGTCCAGTAATGTCCTACATGCGACAAGATAGCCTTATAACGAAACACTAGCGACAAAATCAAATTTAAGGTGAGACCAGATTTAACGTAAGAGTTAGCATCGCGTTTTTGAAACAGGCCGAGTTAGTGTACGTTACTTTGCCTTGTTTAAAAACTATTTTTATATTTTTTTAAACAACGTTCAGTTGCTTTAGCATTTTAATGAGATGTGAAAACAGCCTACCTCTTCCTAGTCTTTTCCCCATGTGAAGGTGATCTCTGTGCACTTTAAAAACGAATAACTCCGACTCAAATCCAGGTGTACATACCGACTCCTCCGCATATCCACACGACAATACCTGACAAAAAAGAAATAAATGAATAAAACAAATAAGACAAAAAAGTATAACAAACCGAAGACTTCATTGTCCGAAACTGCGCGTCCATTTTCAGTATTAGCCAACTCGACGATCAAAAAAAAAAAAAAAAACTTACCTGACAAAGAAAAACGATAACTCCCAATCGCACAATCCTTACACACGCCATTCGACACGCTAAAAGTCTCAAACAATCCCTCAGCGTCTTAATCCTTCGAAGTATTTAAAGTATAACACAGCTGTTCCTTCCAGCGTCTCAACAGCCGCAAATTGAGGAAATGGTCTTCAGCAGGTAGCTTCGGATCTGACGCAGCCAGGTGACCTCGCCCATCCGGTAATTAGGCTACCATGTCCACATATGGGTATGTATGCCTTTTAGACACTCCTAACAGGTAAAAAAAGAAGAAGGAAGATTTAAATATTCGAAAATCCCCGGATTAGTGAACTACGTGTGAAGTATGGAAACTGCTGAAGTGTAGGCTACGAGACCAGTCGCTTCTCAAACACCCTAGATAACATCTCACTCAACTCTTTAAAAGACTGCAACTGCTGTTCACTCACTTCGCTGAAGTGAAAAACTCCATTCATGAATTTAGCACTGAAAAAATCCCCCTGACATAGGCTGTTTTGATGTTGAAATGGATTAGGAATTATACATCTGCTGGTAGATTTAAAGAACTAGTTTTCTAAAACAAAAAGATTAAACTATATTGTTCCTGTTAATATGAAAATGTATGCTTTGGTGTTAGGGAAATTGTTTATAGACTCCACCTACCAATGGAAACTACATATGAAAAATAAACACATTATAGAACACTCTACTGAGTTATATGTTAATATGTGGAAAATAAACATAGTAACCTCGTGTTTGTGCTTGGCTCAGTGTAGTCTGCTCATATACAGTAAGCTATACAAATAGTGTCTGTTCCCAATGGATCCCATTCACATATACATGTAGTCATGTGAACTCTGAACAATTTTAGCTTTAGCTTCCAGTTAATCATATTGCACATCTTTCATAGTAGTTACTCATTTGATCTGTATTTCTTGTGACCCTGATGATTTACTGGATGCAATGATTATGACTTTTGGTAGAGTAATCAGGCCCCATCCCCCAACAATGCCACAATAACCTCCCTAAAAAGGCCCATAATGCTTGCTTTGTATTATATTATTGACCTTAATATATTCTTTAATTTAACGGATTACTCGGATATCCATAACTAATTGCGAGTGAGAGAACAGAAAACAGCATGTCTGCTAGTGCCCCTTGTATACTTTCTGTTCAGTTTGGGATGCCTCAGGCCCCCAAGATAGCCTGGGTTTCATAAGCCGAGTTTGATCATGAGTTTCCAATGTGATCACAATACCTTTAACATAAGCATTTTGTTTTCAACAGATCTTGGTAAAAATTAGTCTAGTTTCAGGAGAACGTTTCTTAAGTCTTTTCTTAGTGCTTTATTTCTCTGTTTGTAAACAACAAGATTTAATGGCTCCTCCATTATCATTGTAATTATACGTCAGGAGAGAATATATCTCAGTTTCTGTTGTTTTTGTCAGGGTAAGGTCATTAGCTAAACACAAAACCAACCTCCTTATTTTATTTGTAATTTTAGAAATTAAGTTTTGCAGGATGAATGTTTATGACTTGGTTTTCTTCCGACATACAATACTAGGTCACTAAACTGTACTGTAACTGTGAGAGTTTGTTTCTTCTCACAAAACTCAAAAATATGAATGTTATTCAGCTGACCTTAAAAAACCCTTACAAAGGAACACATTGTATTCTTCATCATTGAAGTAACTGAGAATTGTTGTAATAGTTGCTCTCAGTCCTTGCCTGGCATTAAAGTTGGCTTTGATGTGTTTCTCTAATATCTGTCTTTGTAGTACTTTGTAGTAGAAAACCATTGACTTTGTAACATGACGACAACCCTAGACTAAAAGAAAAAGCGCTATTTAGTGAGGGTTTTAGAAATGTATACACATACATACATATAACAGATTTTAGTTAGGTATAGTGAGTGCAAATTAAGCCCTGCTAATTAAAGTTTGTTAAAACAAAAAGTCTACAGTTTCAGTGTGTTTCCAAATGTGAATTTGGAGAAAGGCTTGAAATTTATCTGAGCACCTAGGAAAGAAGACAATGAATATTTTGTTAATCATTTGTTTGGAGTCCGCTTATCTCTGGCTGTAGATAAGCCCAGAGGACAAATATTGCAGGAGAAAACATTATATGCTCTGAGTAGAATGTGACCAATGCCTGCATACCGTTCCCAGACTGAGCCAAAGGCTGTTCTGAGCGGTGTATCTTTTAGAAAGAGAGAGAAATAGTTTTCGGCATGGGAACCTTTTTTTTTTTTGCTTGAAAATACATCTCTGCCTTGTCTTCACATTTTCTGTTTTTAATCGGATTTAAGTTTGGTTAATATATCATGAGTGCTGCTGCAAGAGTAGCCTTGGATTTGAATGTGTGCCTCATTGCCAACTTGATTTCAATTTTTAGGCCATGACACTGGGTCTTAATAAATGTAGTTATTTTGACTGTTTTGACTGTGTGCAAACTTACTGTACTAACAAAAATGTTTGTTGCTACTAATAATCAGTGCACTTGCCTATAAAGTCTTAAACTCATATTTAAACATGCAAATAAATTTTGAAATAAAAAAATAAATTAATGTATTATAAAAATAAAATATCAAATTGCATACATCACAATTGTGGACTTTGTAATTCTTTCAAAAAGTCAGATTTCCTTGTGCACTTTCAAGCACAAGATGAAGATATTAAGAAATTCTGAAATGTCAATTTCATTTCAATAGTTTAAATGGTCACTTAAATTGTTTTGCACATAATAGAATTTCAATAAAAAAAATGAATCAAATCATAACAATGCAAAATAAAAGCACTCTCACAAGTGCAGTCCATACTATTTTAAGTTGAATCATTGCAATTGAAGAAGAGTTACTTTTACTGAGTGCCTGTGCCACTAGTTTGATGTACATCCATAAATAGCGTTCAGTGTGAAATCATTTACACTGGTTACAAGGTCAGCAGTGGAGGTCTAAGTTAATGATTACGCAGTACTGTTTTTGTTCAAAAAGACACTGTGCTCTGTCTGCCAGCCGCCAGCGGAAATGCTCTTTGCTTTTATATCATTTACTGCTGTGCTCTGTTAGGAATAAAAATTGCCTTTCAGTGTAAAAAGAATTCATATTTTAAAACATTTCAAAAGTGGCATTTGCAAGTACAATCACTTCAAATGTTCTCAGCTTTGTTTGGTAGGATTTTCCGGAAAAACTCTCTAAAGAGGAACCTTTGAATGTCCTCTGAGCTGTGTTATGTGATTTTAACAAACAAGTTTGGAGATGTTTGGTGAGTTTTTAAAGCTGGGCGAGGTGCTGTAAAAAAACTGTGGGGGATGGTAGCTTATCTCGCTATGGAGAAACCAGTTCCGCATTACACTATCAAAGCCACTCATCCACTTCAAAGTGCTCTGCTTCGATACTATGACTCTTTCACTCAAATCAATATTTCCTGTGCGAATAATTACGAATGCAATTGCATGCTATTATGAGAGCTTTTAACCAGCACAATGTCCAAGATGTTGCTTATTTGTTAATGGGTATGAACTCTAATAAACTTTGTCAACATGTACTCCAGCTCCAATGCTCCCTTCCCCCTTCACAATGATTGACTTCTCATGTCCATCAGCCTTAAAAGCCCATCATTATCGAAAAGGGCTTTTAGGCTCCATGAAATGTTTATGCTTGTACAACTTTTGGTATCATGTTTGCTTGCGGTGTCGTGTTCATAGTGCATCATGACTTGTCTTCCCAGATTTGGAAGAGAAAGCAGCTGCAATGCCGAACCGTCTGATAGCACCTTGGTTTCGCAGCCATAGGACAAGACTGGTCTTGTGTTGCGCCGGGCCTTTTGTTGCTTAGTAATGCATAAGAGGACCTCCCATCTCCTACTGAGCCTTATAGCTAGAGGCATGTAGTTGTCTTGTGACTTAATGCCTCTGTAGATTAAACACCCTCCCCCGAGTCAATACTAGTCTGCTCAGGAGCGGAACAATCGTAGACGGTCTGACAGTGCTATTAACAAATAAGGAAGTATAGCTGACGTTCAGCCTTAAGTTCAGGTAGTCTCTACCAAATCTTACTGGAAATGGATGTGACGTCACAAGGCAAAAACTGAAGATATAGGGCTGGCTATCGGTTCTCAGGGAGGGATTTTATGACATCAAGATATTTACTTCACTAGTCACTTGTTTCTGTTTCAAGATCACAGCTGACACTTTTGTTTTTATAATATCCTTGCGGTATGTAGTTTTAAGCTCCAAGTTTGTCACATACACATCTGTATAAATGTAGTAAAATGACCCAGACTGCACAATACCCATACACATATGGTGCTTTTCCACTGCATGGTACGGCACGGTACGGTTCACTTTTTGGGGGTTTTCCACTGGGTACAGTACCCGGTACCTGGTACTTATTTTAGTACCACCTCGGTTGGGGTTCCAAGTGAACCGTACCGTTACCAAAATGTGACGTGTAAACTCTGCTGATCACGGATTGGCCGGAGAGAATCGTCACTATCTGCGTCACTGAACTTGCGACACAAACACAAAAGAACCACTAGATTTAAATCAGAACAGCCAGCGAAGGATCGAACGCAACCGTTTTGAACGAGCGCACCTTTTTTTAACAACCAAAAAGTTTTGTTGTCTGTTGTGGAAGAACAGACGTTCCTCTCATTGATAGCAGAGGAGCAGATCCAGCGAGAGTTTGATGGGGCGACGCGGAATGAAAAAGTTTTTTTTAGGAGTCGTGGTAGTAGAGGCGGCGCAACTATAACGACATGTGAATAATCCCGCCCACTCTAAAGCGGTACTAAACTGCAGTGTAAACGCAAACCGTGCCGAGCCGAACCGTGCCGTGTCGTACTGAGCCGTGCCGAGCCGAGTCGTACTACGCAGTGGAAAAGCGCCAATATATAGAGATACACTACACTACTTAAGTTAAGATTTTTCTATGCTTTCGTTGAAAAGCATATTATATGCTCACCAATGCTACATATCTTTGATTAAAAATACAGTAAAAACAGCAATATTGTGAAATATTATTACAATTTAAAATCTGTTTTCTGTTTGAATGTATTTTAAAATGTAATTTATTCCTGTGATGGCAAACTGAATTTTCAAGAGCCATTACTCCAGACACCATTTATGCTGGTCTGTTGTTCAAGGTACATTTCTTATTATTATCATCAATGTTAAAAATGGTCTTTGCAGCGTCACATTTTAGTAGAAACTATGATACAGTACCATCTGAAAGATTGGGTTATGTAAGATTAAAAAAAAAAGAGAGAAACTTTTATCACAAAATTAATAAAAGATTTATATTTTAAACAAATGCTATTCTTTTTCATTTTAATCAAGAATGCTGAATCCCGTATTACCTTTTTCACAAAAATATGAAACAGCAACAACTATTTTTAACTTGATTACAAGTATGTGTTAAAGAAATATAGTTCTAAAGACATTTCTTTCATGACAACTCTTGGAGGGATTGGCATGGTAATGTACATGACAATGCTAATGTATTTGGCCTTGGTGGAATAGATCTGCTACGCTGCTGCTGCGGCAGAGCAAGTACCGAGACTTGCTACTGCCCATACATCCATAACATGCTGCTGTAAGCATGTAAGAAATACTGCTGCTGCACATATAACACATATGAATAACCCCCATATAGCATAAATGAATCACCCCGTAGCAGATCTATACAGGTGGAGCTGGGGAAGGTGGAGGGTTTCTGAAGTGCGCTGCAAACTGCTACAGCAAACAAAAGCCAGGTATTTGAATATTGAGCAGTAAGCTCATTGGCTACCGATACAAGAGAGAACCAATCAGCTGCCATGTGACAATGATGTTGCCAGGTCAGATTGAGCTAGACCTATCGGACTGCGCCATCTAGAGTTTCATGCCAGAACTCTGTATATAGAAAAACAGTGGCCCGAATCACACTTATGAAAATAGAAACAATACAAATGAAAGGACATAAAAACATAAAGTAGGGCAGTTACTTTTACTGTCACCCAAGTGCACAGCATATTTATCCACAGCATATGCTGATAGTAAACAGCCCCTCTTGACAATCTCTTTGTCCTCCAGGATATAAAATAGGTGACACATTACTGCTCAGACAGGCAGCAGCCATTAGGGTGGGAGGACCTGCTCCTTGAAGGTAGAGCCTGAGGTTTATCTGAGCAATCCCACCACACCCCAAATCTCCCCATTTGTTACACACAGTGTGGGTTTGCTGTGGTTTGAATGTATTTTAAAATGTAATTTATTCCTGTGATGGCAAACTGAATTTTCAAGAGCCATTACTCCAGACACCATTTATGCTGGTCTGTTGTTCAAGGTACATTTCTTATTATTATCATCAATGTTAAAAATGGTCTTTGCAGCGTCACATTTTAGTAGAAACTATGATACAGTACCATCTGAAAGATTGGGTTATGTAAGATTAAAAAAAAAAGAGAGAAACTTTTATCACAAAATTAATAAAAGATTTATATTTTAAACAAATGCTATTCTTTTTCATTTTCATCAAGAATGCTGAATCCCGTATTACCTTTTTCACAAAAATATGAAACAGCAACAACTATTTTTAACTTGATTACAAGTATGTGTTAAAGAAATATAGTTCTAAAGACATTTCTTTCATGACAACTCTTGGAGGGATTGGCATGGTAATGTACATGACAATGCTAATGTATTTGGCCTTGGTGGAATAGATCTGCTACGCTGCTGCTGCGGCAGAGCAAGTACCGAGACTTGCTACTGCCCATACATCCATAACATGCTGCTGTAAGCATGTAAGAAATACTGCTGCTGCACATATAACACAGATGAATAACCCCCATATAGCATAAATGAACCACCCCGTAGCAGATCTATACAGGTGGAGCTGGGGAAGGTGGAGGGTTTCTGAAGTGCGCTGCAAACTGCTACAGCAAACAAAAGCCAGGTATTTGAATATTGAGCAGTAAGCTCATTGGCTACCGATACAAGAGAGAACCAATCAGCTGCCATGTGACAATGATGTTGCCAGGTCAGATTGAGCTAGACCTATCGGACTGCGCCATCTAGAGTTTCATGCCAGAACTCTGTATATAGAAAAACAGTGGCCCGAATCACACTTATGAAAATAGAAACAATACAAATGAAAGGACATAAAAACATAAAGTAGGGCAGTTACTTTTACTGTCACCCAAGTGCACAGCATATTTATCCACAGCATATGCTGATAGTAAACAGCCCCTCTTGACAATCTCTTTGTCCTCCAGGATATAAAATAGGTGACACATTACTGCTCAGACAGGCAGCAGCCATTAGGGTGGGAGGACCTGCTCCTTGAAGGTAGAGCCTGAGGTTTATCTGAGCAATCCCACCACACCCCAAATCTCCCCATTTGTTACACACAGTGTGGGTTTGCTGTGTCAGTTTAAGATAATGGCCTGGTCAACATGTACAATGCAAATGAATGATCTAGCAGGGTCATTCCTGTTCTGCACAGCAAATTCATTGGTGTTAATTCAACTCTTTTAGAGTTACAATCAGCTCTGAGTGAGTGAACATATTGTCTCAAACTTTTCAAAATCAAAGTAACATTTTTAAGAGTGTTATAACACTAAGGCAGAGTTACATTTACACTGTAAAACAACTCTGGTCCACACCACAGGGAGTTAATTTTCTTCAAAACAGAGTAAAGAGTGACAATTTAACATTATTAAGATGTATTTTAATGCTGGATATTTTTTTACTTCAGTGTGACGAGTTGATGTTACTGTATTCCAACCAGGTTAAATTAGGAGGGTTGACAGTGATGAAAAAATGTGTGACAACTTGCAGAGTGACATTAATAACAACATTGAGAGTACATTAAAACAATCCATAAAGTTTAATTAAACTTTAGTCTGGGATCACAGTCTTTTCAAATTAAAGGCAAAATGCAAACGGTTTTCTTTTTTAAACAAACTAGTTCTTTATTAATTTACAAGCCAATTTACATCATGGAAGGTTCACTTTTAAAATAAATGATGAATGCACATTTCTGTCATCAGAAATAATATGAAAGCTGCTAATCAGATGGTCTGTAATACTTCAAGCCCTGTACATGTCAGTGAATATAAGTACTATGTCCAAGTTGCTAAATGTCAGAAGCTGACATACCTATGTATATTTGCAACATATATAATACCTATGACTTTGCAACACGGCACAGCAGTGCTTGTTTCAACAACATTGAGCAGATGAAAAATCGCAGGATATGTGGATCAGTTGTGTTACAGTTGCAAACAGTAAAGTTCAGCGCATATAGTTGTTTCACAGGAAGGGCTGTGCAGATTCAACTTCCTCCAAAAATACTGGAATGCTGGTTCCTACCTAGATAACACAAAACCAGATGTGGAGGAAATTTTATTTTTTATTCATATTATTAGTAGTTTTATTTACTTTACTCTATGAGTGTTCTTTCTTTATTGAATGTCTAGTTAATGTGCTTAAGTTTGTCATGAGATAGACGAGACATAACAGGAAATCTAAGTGCAAGACAAGTGAGAGACAAGAAAATGTTATGTCAGCTTTTTAGATGTCCTGGCTTCTTAGAAACGCATCTGGATGACATAGTTAGATACCTTAAATGGACATATATGTTGAATATGCATTATGATCGGATGAGATCAAAGCATCCGGATTTGATGAAGGTATAAATGTTGAGTTGGGGTGTTGCCTCTTTGTCACACTGACTCTGCAAGCCAATCTGTATGACTGTTGACCTTTTCTTGCAAGAAAATAAATCTTCAAAAGACTTTTGTCTCATACCTTTATTGAAATAGAAAATTGCCACAACACCAGACCAATTCAAGTGAATGCTATTTCTGTTCTATAAATACAGCAAGTTTATGATGGAAAAGGTTCAAACAACATGGACTTTTGTGACTCAAACAAGAAACTATTTTGGTTAGATTCAGACTTTTGAATTGATTCATTTCCAAGTAAAAAAGGAACAAAGGAAATCATAAAAGTAATCCATGTGACTCCAGTGGTTTAACCTCAATTCTATGAAGCAACACGAGTGCTTTATTTGCGCAAAAAACTATTCATGACTTTATTTACAAAATTCAAATTTTCAATGCATGTTCACACAACAACATCTGCTCTCACATCAAGACAACATGCATGCATTGTGATTTTCTCTGATCGCACAGTGGAGATTTATATTTTGTAAATAAAGTGGTAATTTTTTTGCAAACACAGACCTCGCGTAGCTTAATAACACTGATGATAAACTACTGGAGTCACATTGATTACTTGAATGATGTCTTTATAGGCTAACTTTCTTGGGCTTGAAAGGTAGTTGAGTGGACTGTCAATGAAGGGACAGGAAGCTCTCAAATTTTATTAAAAATATCTGTGTTCTGAAGATGAAAGAAAGTCTGAGCTAACCTTTTAAGTATAGATTCAGGCACGCACCTTAAGGAATCTCACTAAATAGCTAGTTGCCTGAAGGAGGCTGATCTTTGTTCTCTTATTGTGGCTTTGTAATGTTGGGGGCAGGTGATAGGCAGAGATGTCCTTCCCTGTTGAGTCTAAAATTAAATGGCAATAAAACATCTACCCATCGGTTTGACAACTCATTTTGTTTGAAACAAGGGAAACAAACAAACAATAATTTGATAAAAATGTACTTTTGTAAAGTAATTTGACTGGACAAATTCGAAATGAATGTTATGAAGCACAGAAACTCTAGTAATGCCAAACTGCAACAAAGCTATGATTACTAGTTATCTGTTAAGTTATTAGTTAATAGTTATATCATCATAAGTCACCTGTTAAATCTTACCATTACCAGGATCTAATCTGTACTTCTCTGCAAATTCTTTAAATGCCAAGCCAAGTACCCTGAACCACTTGATGCTTCATAGAAGTGCTCCTAAAACAACAAATAGCAAAAACACAAAAACAATAAATTTAAACATGAAGTATACATTTTTCTGTAAGTTTACAAATCAATTATATTAAAATTCTTCCCAGTGTACTTCAATCATTTCAGCAACAAGTATGTTAAAGCGTTAGTTTACCCCAAAATGAAAATTCTATCATTTACTCACTCTCAGGTTATTCCAAACATGTATTAATTTCTTTCTTGTGCCAAACACAAAAGAAGATATTCTGAAGAATGTGGCTACCAGTTTCTGGTCTTTCATTATAATTTTTTAATACCATCAAGTCCCTGAGAGTAAAACCTGTCAATAATTCCTTTGAAATGGTATGCTCATAGTTGTGATTTATTGTAAATAAAGTGAAAAACTGAAGTAAAATCATATGAATTACCTAGCATTGTTGAAATTACCTTAGCAAATTTCGCCTCACTCCATCTGGAACTTACTTTCTTCCAGTTTGACTCTCCAAAAAGCTGTAACTACCAGTCAAACATAAAAAAGGCATGAAAATCATATGAAGGTTTACAAACGTATAAATCTGTATAATAAATACATAACTCACATTGCTTCTATGGAGAAATTGTACAAGGACAAAATGGCGGCCTTCCAGACAAATGAAGTTGAAAAACGGGCGTGGCAATGTAAAATGTTAAAACTTCTTCGGTTTTATGGCGGGTGGCACCAACGTTAAGATGCATTATCGCCACCTACTGTGTTGGAGTGTGGACCAGAGTTTACCCATTATTGGACCCAAAAGAAAGAAAGAGAGAAAAAAAACTATTTAAATCTAAATTATTTTAATCAGCTCTGTTTTCTTTAAATAATGGAACTTCCTAATCCGTATGCAATTGAACTCTTAAGATTTAATTCTTTCTCTCCCATTTTTCTGAGATCCCTCTTAAATATTTCCTGTTCCTAAGAATACCTTTGGCAGAAACAAATTCTACTGACTCCTCTATTCCACATTGCTCACATTTCCACATTTGATATTTATTTATTAGTTTCAGTGTTTTATTAAGCTTGGTATGCCCGAACCTTAATCTTGTTAAAGTACTTTCTTTGTTTTTGGTGCTTGTCTTTGCTATCCTAATTCTTGTTGTTTCATAAAGCTGATGTTCTGTGTGATGTGAAATGTTCATGACCTCTTCAATTTCCTTTGCCTTTTTTGCTAACCCAATCACCACTTCATTGCCCTTTATCCCTCTGTGACCTGGTATTCACATAAATATAGTCATAATGTCTCTTGAAACTATACAAAGTTTTATACAGTGGTGGCCAAAATGATTAGAACACTAGTATTTTCACCAGATAAAAATGGTTTTAAGTCAGTTATTTCTATTTCAGACAGACTGGATGATGATCAGATCAGATCTCTGTGTGGAGCACTGGCTGCTGTCAGACAAAAATCTCACTGGATTATTACAATTAATGGCAAAATGAAAGTTTGGAAATGTAAACTGATACTTCCTACTGACACACTACAGCAAACGACAGAAATAACTGACTTAAAACCATTTTTAACTGGTGAAAATACTAGTGGTCTAATAATTTTGGCCACCACTGTAGCCTATATTTCATTGACTTTATCTTGCCTACTGTGAGATGTGGTTAATTAAAGCTGAACAACACTACTGCCAATAACAACACCAACACCAACACTTTCATGCCATTTCATGCTTCAGCAGTTATATGTCTTGTACAAAGGAGTGTTACAATTACTGAATCACTGAAACACTCACAAGTAACACCAAGAAATTAACACTCATGCATTTGCTGTGTACAGTAGCTTTTTCTGTACATATAATATATTAACTTTAAAACATGAATATGTTTGTGTGAAATGCTGTCATCAAATCGAATGCTGACTGATGTTTGTGCTGTTGTTTTCCCCATGAACAGTTCACTTCTTGAATGTCACTTCCTAGTGGATGATGTCATTATGAAACTGGCTTTTATTACTTAAATTGAATATATTTCACAAGACTAACAGGGTGGAAAGTGATATTGGAGATACGGGAAGACTGATAAATTGATTACATATAGTAAAAATGAAAACAAATGATTCCCTCTATAAAGAAATAAAAAAAAATCCTTCTCAGTATTATACTTTTGCTTTTAAAATGGGAGTACACTGCATAGGAGGATTTACCCATGTAGCTGACTTCTATTATTATAAAAGTACTGTTTGTACAGCCAGTAGAGAAGCTTGTCGTAAAAACAAGTCTGCGTTTGTACTGACAGTGGAGACTGCATGCATGAGGTATCTGAGCACTTTTGAACTGGGCAGAAACATGTGGCATGTGGGAAGTGTATTCAGTCTTCATTTATAAACAGGTTTTTCAAGCTCAGGCAGGTTGACACAAACAATGGAGCCTCATTGTGTAAGCAAGAGGCTCAAAACCTATTGAAGAGGTGATTCAGGGTCTCATAGCACTGACAGATCGCTGATAAGACTTAGCTGGAAAATAATTTATAGTAGTTTGCTTGATACACTCTCAGAAAAAAGGCATAAATACATATATTATATATTACACATATATTATAATTTACTATATTACATTAGCAAGCATTTAATCTTGCTTGCATGTTCTTCATAACCTGAGGATGTTGTTTTGCATCGACCAGCAATACATGTCATTCATGTCATTCCAGACAGACTGGAAGATGATGAGATCAGATGTCTGTGTGGAGCACTGGCTGTTGTCAGAATGCTTGTGCAAACAATTATTACAATTAATGGCAAAATGAATGTTTGGAAATGTAAACTGATATTTCCTACTGACACGCTACAGCAAAAGACAGAAATAACTGACCATTTTTAGCTGGTGAAAATACTATTGCTCTAATAATTATGGCAACCACTGTGTGTGTGTGTGTGTACAACAGGGATATATGTAACGTTTGTCTTAGTGGACTGTTACTTTAATTGTACCTGACTCTACGTTTATTTAAAATTAGTATGCACAGTACTTTTATCTTTTATCTGACCCAACTACTTTATAGAGTTCATTTAATATTAGCATGAATAGCTGATATTCAAGCTGATTTATAAAGCAAAATTTCAATGTTTTAGCTATTCTCTAATTAAAAGAGAGAAAAAAACACTTCTCTCACAAAATGAGATGACTAAGATCTATGATGAAAAAAAGCTAAACCAGACATTACCGCTAAACTTATTTTAATGTTTTGATTTCACCTATGTTTACCGTAATGCATTTTTTCCCCCATAAGAATTATAAGGCTCTTCATTACTAAGAGAGCGAGAGTAATGCTGACATCTAGTGTCCAAATTATATGCAAGACAATCATAAATAATGACTGCAAATTTTTTTTTGGTGAAAATTATATATTACATTGTGGCAGTGGCGGAACATTTTAAAGGTAGGGCTGTGCCACATCCAACAATTTTAGCAAACATTCCATTATGATTTAATGCTAAATCGTTTAATGCTAAAAGTTGTAAGAAAAAGTTAACAGAAGGAAAAATATTAACATTTGAAACATATTTTTAAGGCTTGAAACATTTCTTAAATAAAGATAAGTTCTTCACCAAGTTCAGGATAAAGTTTGAGGATGATTCTCGCAAAACTGTTTTCTGCAATCTTTTTTCAAGGTAATTTTAAGATGCCTTTTCATTTACATGCAAATTTAAAGTACAAGAGCAAAGTAAAATGCTATATTTTGACTCGTTTACTTTTATGTATTTTATTTTAATTAGTTATTTATTTTACATTTTGATTACAATAATTCTACATTGTTATTTAATTTAATGGTGGCATTGTATCAATGTGACAACCCCCCTGGAGGTCTGCAAACCTCTGATTTGGAAAATTTGATTTTCAGGCCGGTGTCCTGCAGAGTTTAGCTCCAACTTGCCTAAACACACCTGCTGGTAAGTTTCTAGTATGCCTATAAGAGCTTGATTAGCTGGTTCAGGTGTGTTTAATTGGGGCTGGAGCTAAACTCTGCAGGACACCGGCCCTCCAGGACCGAGTTTGGGCACCCCTGAATTAAGGGAATAAATTACCTTGAGTAATATTGTAACAGTTCTGGAATATTTAACAGCTGCTGACTATCTTCTTGCTCAGGAGTTCAAAATATCACTCCTGTTCTCCATCTTCGTTTGCTATCTGTCTAGTCGTGGCAGGAACGACTGGTACATTAGATACAGCAACCTTAACGATAACATTCAAACCTTCTTGATGAGGAAGAGGAAGTTCCCAAAACCCCACCCCTATTTGGTATCATTTAAAAGTCCTAAATGTCCTCTTTAGAGAACAAAAGTTTCTGAAGTATCAAAGTTAATTCAGTAGTATGCAGGAGGTGGGAGATATTCAGATTGGGAGATATTTACTACTGCGGGTAGTTAATCTAAATCATAAAATCTGTAGCATATTGCTGTGCATGTCATTCCAATTTCTATCACCAGAAGACACACAACAACAGTAATGAGAATTTTTTTTACATGATTCCCAATTATTTATATTCACGATTTCTAATATTTGTACAGGCTTTACATTTTTACTCAATGTATTTGTTATCTTTGTTCTAAAGTAGCCTATCTCAATACTGTTTGCTTTACTTTTTTCACATAAAAGCAACAGAATTTGAGTTACATTCAATTTATTAGCAACAAGGTAAATAAGTGTGAATCACATGATATCTGGTAGGTGTCTAGCTGCATTCATGTCATGTTGTAATACTCTTTTTACATCTTAATAGACTGCATATTTTCATAAAAAGGAGCATTTAATGTGGTCTTGATTTGGATGTGTACAGCAGTCATTTACATTTAAAAGGGTTGTAAATGTAGCTCAAGTAAATATTAGCACGCCATAGTCAACTTTAATCATATACAACGTTTCCCAACAACAAAATTGTGGCCTGTGAAAATTCTGCGTGGTTAGTAACTTTGAAAAACCACTAGCCACAGTGGCTGGTGAGCAAAAAGTTAATGTCAAGCCCTGGAAACAAGAACCATTTTGTTTAACCAGGTTGCAGATTCAGAATCACCCAGAGCTGGTGAGAAAAGCCCTGAAGAGACATTTAAGTGCAAGCCACTTCATCAAAAAAAACTGTTTTGTGAAAGCTGCACATACATAAATATAAGTATATGTTAAGCATAATAGCAACTTATTGTTATATACTTCTTAAAGTACCAAAAAGGATGACTGTACTGTCTTTATACGGCTGTTAATAAAAAATAGTAAAATGAGATAAGAATAAAGAAATACTCATGTTTTAACTGATGCGTTGTGCCCATACAGGATGTGGTGCATCATTTCCGTATTAGACATGGTTTTAGAAGTGTTAAAATTGTCAGTTTTCAACTGGTTAATTTCAAGCAGCAAATACACTACTGGTCAAAGGTCTGACAGAATTTTATTTTGATATGATCTTTAAAACTTTTTTTTTTTTAATCTTGAAGGTATATACTTTAATGACTGAAATTAATTGTAATTTTATGTAAATGATGTTATGAATTGAGTCAGTGCACAAAACTTTCACATTTGACATTGCATTTTAATTGCAATTGCAATATAATAGGGCTTTAATAACATAGATTTACATAATAATATAGATTAAATAACAAAATAATTTTCAGTTTTGTTGACGGTAAAGCAATAGCTC